CATTGAAGTCGCCTGCTAAAACAACTATATCTGAACGTTTTGCTTTTTGCAGCAAATTAGACAGTTTCAGGTAGAAGTCATCCTTTAGTTCATCCGAACTGCAGTCTGTTGGGGCGTAAGCGGAGACTACGAAAAGGCAACGACGGGTAGCGCCGTCTTTCCTTCTTTTAACGGACCCGTTCAGACGGACCGCACACATACGACTATCTACTGGGATCCAGTCAAGAAGTGATTTTTCCGCCGTAACACTCAGTGCTATCCCTACACCTGCGAGACCTCGCGAGCTAGCTGAGGGGTCTCCTGACACCCTTAAGGTAAATTTTGCAGATACACATTGTTGACCGGGAAGGTCAAGTGAATGACCACACTCTGGTCTTGTATGCGTGTCTCCGAAACACAACATACATCCTCTTGCTCTAGATTCCAGAGGTCTTGTTAGTGATGCCTGTTGTCCAATTTGGCAGAGGGTCCTGACGTTGAAAGCTCCTATATGAAGTTGGCGACGTGGCTTTAAAAGGCTATCTGGGGTGTTTCTATGGACCTTTGTTTGTGGACACATAGTGAAGTGAAGATGACTCACTAGCCTGAAGAATAGTGCTAAGTGTAGTAGAGAAGCAAGATTAGGAAGGCGATGTGAGTAAGGGAGAGTGATGCTCAGGAAGGCTTCGTGTGCTTTTGGAAGTGTGTGGGCGGTTGTTACTTCCCGGCTGCCCACACCGTGGAAGTTGGTTGATTCTTCGGAAACCTGAAACAGAAAGAGTGTTGTGTGACCACAGAGCCCAGGGGATAACTGCTTGAGGCCGGTCACACGCGGCCTGTTTTTGTATGTTCTTTTTTGTTTGGTGTGTCTCAGTAGCATATTTATCACTTCTGCCCTGTGACACGGCAGCAGGAAGCGCGGTTGTTGTTAATCCGGGCCCCGACCGATCCTGCATGATATTTTGTGAATTTGTTTGAACCGTAGTATTGGATTGGGTAGCTGCTTTTTGTCTAACCGCTATCCAAACAACCTTCCTGGCATGGTAGGACCTGCAGGAACATAAGTTCCAGCCAGTGTATCTCGTTGGGTCATTGCGATATGCAAACCCGACCACCACGTCAAGGTAGCAGCTATCGGTCAGGATCATTGGATTGCATCCTACCTGAATCGCAACGTCTCACCCCGTAAGTCAAAGCTCCTGAGTTCCACTGCTAGTAGAATCTTTAGCAAGCATGACACAGTCGTAAACGTCCTCATGCGTCATTTTGTGGTTTTCTAATAGGTAACGAAACATAAACTGGAAGAAAAGAGTTAACCAATAGTATTAAGTTCGATTTTCCCTAATTTTCATAGACTACTGCAATTTTTGCAGAGCTTAACGCATACACATGACGCATAACTTTGACTGAATGTGGTACACTGTCACGCAGTTATGTACACACTTATCTGAATGCAAGTAGTAGTAGCAGCAGTAGAAGAAGAAGAAGAAAGTCTATTAAGCGAATAATAACAGTAGGAATAATAACACAGCTGTCCTAATAAACAGTATGCTTTCAAAATCTGTGAATTCAGTTAAACAAAACGCCCAGATTTAAAATAGATAGAACCAGATATACTAATGAATAAAGCGCATCTATAAAAAATCAGAATGTATATGTAATATAATACACATAAACTGAAGTCCAACATTCATCTGTAGAGTTCGGAACATGAATTCTAATAAGTTTAAAAAGAGATATTGGTTCCCAGGCTTGAATTAGGCAGACATCAAGTGAACTATGATCTGATAGAATTATCACTATGATCAATTCCAAACAAGATAAATAAAATGTCTGTATGAGGAGAAGTTTTATGAAGGTAGCCTACTACATAACTTCCTATCTTCTTCAAACCTTATCCTTTTGTCGGCAAAGATTACAAAGGAAATTTGTGACTGAATAACTGGATAGTTTCATACATTTGTTTCCCTTGTTAAATTTCGATAGAGAAAGAAAGACCACATTTGCAATATAAAATGATATCATTCTATTTATAAATTTACATGCATTTGCAGCAGCAAGTACATTGTATGGACAGAAAGAAGGGCTTCTATCCGGTTTTCAGAGCATATTCCAACAACAAAAAATGCTTAAAAGGAAACAGAGATTTAGGAAGTGCAGCTACCAGACACCTTGTGCACACGGGTCATTTCGTCGAGATTTCCAAATCCTTCAAAATATTAAGCATACAAGGGACAGCGAATTTACTACGATTTGCTGAAGCAATTGCAATCAAGCATTTCCTACCAAACTTATGCACACAGAAAGAGAGTGTAGTCAATCTCTCACTCCCTTGGTAACCGTATTACTTTCATTACACTGATTAGTCAAACACACTAGTGAGCTCAGCTCACTAAACAAGTTTTTAATTTGATGAACTTTAACCTTCTTGAGCTGCTATGTAGACGTACTGTTTATTAGATTTTTCTGTTTTCTGTCTTCTCTTACTACCCTTTTTATCGTAGTTTGATAGCATCTAAAGTGATGATGACTTAAACTAAAAATTGTAATGCTCATATTACGGATGCATTTTCTTATCTTATAATGTTTTCTCTATTACCTTTCAAACATTGAAGTATGAAATGTCATTATTTTTAACCATTGTATTTTCAGGTAGTTTGCAGATGATGAGAACCTGTGAAATAGAATGATATCATTTTATACTAGAAATCTGGTCTTTCTTTCTCTATCTAAACTGGATAGTTTTTCTTTAGCACACTATATGTACAACGAAATTTTCTCTTCTTTTTAATTTTTTAAGACATTTCCTGCTCTCCATTTCAAATGGCACATTATAATTGCAAGTGTTCAGTAGGTAAAACAGGCTGTAATGTATTTATCTCCTACCAGAATCACCGCTTCACTAAATTTAGTGTTAGTATTATTACGGAATATACACATTTGATCATAGGGAATAATAAAAACACGGTCGCAGTGAAGAAAATTTTTTTCGACGAAGTTATCAACTAGGCTGTACGTTCGTGTGTTTATAATAAATGGGTGGGAAAGTTCCAGAATAATTTCCAGTCAAGGGTCAAATTAATAAAATTACAATTACAATAATAAACAGAGGGACGGATAAAACTCAAACAACGTAGCATCATAATTATTGAGAAGATTTACATATTGTGCAATTAGGAGTTAGAAATGTAGAAATAACAAAATAGACAAAATGTTTGGATAAAAAATCTAGTGCGATCATAACTAATGTCAGCTGATGATGAAATCCTCCAACCAACAAACAAAATCCCTACAAAACCAATACGTGAAAATTAATCTTATGCTCACTAGCGACTGATCCTATTCAGGCAGTGACCTGGGGTTCTAGTGGGAAGCCGTGACCAATAGGGTACAGTAGGTTGAAGATGAGGCAGTAGCTCATCGAGGAAGACATTGCGAAATGGTTGCGCTATGTTGTAAATTGACAGAAGTTAGAATTCATATGCTGACCATTGGATGGGGTCCCAGTGGCTCAATGGTCTACGAGCTCGCCTTGTAACCAGAAAGTCCTGGGTTCGAACCCTGGCGGAGGGTGCGTACTGCTGAAGAGTCCCAAACTAGGACGAAGCAGTCGTCCAGTACTCCTAGGTTTTCAAATGGTTCTCTAACTGATTTCAGCTCATGATGAAATCCTCCATCCAATCATAACTAATGTGACGAATAATAGTTTATGCAATTAGGGATTAAATATGTTGAAATAAGAAAATGACAAAATAGACAGGAAGTTCGGATATGAAAATATGGTAGTGTAAATAGGTATTAAGAAAAACTTAAAAATAAAATGAATAAACAGGAAGTTTGGATAAGAAAGGTAATGGGATAGTCACTATTGAAAGAATTACCTGTTTATGATGGCCATGGCACAGTGGTTAGTACTCTCGCCGACCATGCACATGGTCCGGGATTCGATCCCCTGCCGGTGCACACTCGATATCCATGGTCGGCCTGTAAATTTGGGCTACCGATATCCATGCTGAAAATTCCATACTTGTACTGAAAACACGGTGTGGAATCAAGCTGCAATCAAAATGAAAAAATGAAATGAAAATGGCAGGGAAAAGCGTTGGACGTATATCTTTTGGATACATAGAGTGGGTTTGAGCTTTTGGATGGCTAGTGCCCTGGCTATGCCCAGTTGTCTTAATTTTGCTCCCCTTGATAGGTTTGATCGGATCTTGTATATGATTTTGAAGGATTTTTTGAATGGCGCTGAATGTCCTGAATTGATCAAATGTTCTGTCACTGAACTATATACACATTTCCGTTCTCCTTTTACTAGCCAGGCTGGATAGTGTTCACGGGCGCGCTTTGCAAGTTGGCTCATGGTACGACCGATGTACCCAGATCTGCACGGGCAAGTAAACTGGTATATGCACGTTGAGGTGGCCCAATGCCACAGCTTGTCTTTCGCGTTCTGGCTGAACATTTTCTTGCAGGAAAACGTCATTCTTAGACTTGCGGCGAAGTATGTTTTCCTCAGAGATTTGCAAAGGCGTTTACGAAGGATTTCTGCTTCAGTGTCACCTTTGAATTCGAGATTAAGCAGAAGCATCTTCTTCACGACAGATTGGACTTGTTCGGAAGTCTCCTTTGATTTTAGATTCTTGTCTATGAACCTAGGCGGAAAACCGTTTTCCATCAAGGTTCCTCGGAGATTATGCAGTTCTTCCTCAATCACTTCCTCGCTGCATATCTTCCGAATCCTTGAGGAAAGGGAATATATCAGGTTCCTCTTTCTGCTTAGGGGCACGAAGCTATGAAAGTTGATGAATTGTCCATTCTATGTAGGCTTTTTTGTATATGGAACTTTTCAGAGAGTTGTCGGCGTTTCTTATGAGAAGAACGTCGAGGAATATTAATAATATTAATATTAATAAAAGCCTTTTCACAGAAATCTATCTATCTGCTTTATAATATAGAAGCATTAAAACACGTTAAATTTAATAATAATATGCATAATGATTAAATTTATGCCAACCTACCATCACACAAATACCGTGTTTACATGGATTTATTAAGCATGGATCAATTCGTACTAAACAATTGTCTGCTACACGTTCTCTTGGTAACAAGGTTGAATTGTTGACTAGTTTTTTATATGCTTTTGTACACTGACATGTATAAATACCATATTCTTTATTTGGTATACACTTATTACCATCGTTTACTCTGCATGCAATATCACCCATTATAACATTTCCAATAGGCATTTTACATGGATCTTTACGCTGTGTATATAAAACACGTGTTAAAAATTATCGTTAAGTTGGCTTGAAAATGATTAAAATAGTGATTAGAAGAAACTTAATTTAGGTGGTAAAATTAGTCTTATATTCAATACAAAATATATTGATGAAGAATAAATTCATTTCCGTCATTAAAATAATAATAATAATAACTTGTACAATACAGAGATTTAAAAAAATAATAAAATAAAACTTGATCCCAGCACATACTAGTATATTGGCTTAATTGGACCATACCGAGACCAATTCCGATAGGCAGTTAGGAACAATGGTTAAAATTTACCCATTTATATACAGTCTAACATTACAGAAAATGTAAGTTTCCTTTAAAAAAATCCTTGAATGCATTCATAAATTCCTACAACCTAGGTGAAATCTAGATATGGTAGATGTTATCGCTGAACAACAACAACAATTCAATAAGTTGGTTAGCTGGAGCTCCGTCTGTTCAGTTGGTTCTTTTTGATTCTTTTGTTTTTGAAATTAACGAGAGTTTCTTCACATAGTCTGACTTGTTGAGCAGAACAATTCCAGAACCTTTGTCTGGTCGAGTTATTATCAGGTTTTCATTCGATTTCAATTCTTTGAGTTGCTTTCGATGCTAGCGTCTTTGTTTGCCTGTCTTGCTGTATCCAGTTCCGGAGCTCGCTGACGTTCATCCGCTTATCTTTGTTTGCATTTTTGATCGTATATACGTGACCCCGTCTCAATGTGACTTTGTATGGTCCTACCAACTTTGGAAGAAGTTTGCGTGACCCTGGTGCATGTTCGCCAGTGTTTCGCCTCACACTATCATAGGCTGCCTTCGCTCGACGTCTCAGCACCGTTCCAAGTAAAAGTGTCTTCTCTGACGGATCTTGAATGACATTCAACTCCACAACAGTCTCAAAATCCTGCAAGAAGATCCATATGTCTCCTTCTTCAAAAACTGCAGGCTGTGACACCAAGTTTAACAGCAGAAGGCAAGTCACGGAAGCAAAGGTATATTTTTCATTTATAAAACTGCTACATATATATACAGTATATATCCTTTAACCAATCACTGAGCGTGTGATTTTGGTTTACATTAAACGACATAAAATAGAATGTTCAAATATATAAGCATTCTGTTGCTAATGCATTATTGGACTGTGGGAATAGTATTCAGACGTTAACACCAACAAATACAATGGTACTTACTGTGAGAATAATATTCCGTTGGAACACATTATCTGTATCACACCACCACAGTATTATTCCCTAAAACAACCTTGTTTTTAAAATTAGACTATCAAAGCAGGTTTAAAATAATTAGGAACAGTTTTTGAGCTATTAAAATAGATTATACTCCTCTTTGTAGCTACAGCTTCGACAAATTCAAGTATATAACCCAAATTTTTCTTATATATGGGGTTAAAGGTACTACTGAAATCAAATTTGTGAGCAGTCTACATGATGTGCTTAAGATGGATGATGTCGAGCATCAATTTCCAAGGCCAATTCAATTAGGCGGTTTTATCAGTTCAACTGACCTAATGTATTACAACAAATTTGTGTATTGATCATTCTTGTTTCATATGTAAACTAGGCAATGAAAAGAAGGCAAAGTTAAACTATTATAGCCAACACCACAGTGACCTGGAGCAACCAATCAGTATTCAAATGCAAAAAAGTCGCATAATCCTTGAAAAATACACTAAAAGATATTGTAAACTTGATATTTTACTGTATAATTGTAGCTTATGTGTTGTAAGAATGTTTCCCAGTCAATACACAGATGATCTATAGAGAAATCATACAATGCGTGATGTACTTAATCACCAGGTGACTGTAGGTCACGTACTTTGAGATTCATTGATATTTCTGACACCATTCCTCAAGCTACTCCTAACTTTAACTATAATCCTAACTTCTGATCCTAAATTCAACCCTAATCCTAACCTTAACCCTAGACCCTAAACCTTAATCTTGAAAGGCATAACCTCACCTAACGGTATACATTTACAGAAGAAGTACCTTGTAAATAAGTAGAATACTGTATCTATCCTATCCATGTCCAAAAAGGCGGGCATGACTTGATTTACAATGACTTTTCATAGCAATCCCTGTGTCTAATTGGTTCTTGAAGGTCAACTTTTGGAAGACCTTGACTGTGTCTGTGATACTTTAACTTCGCCAAAAATAATATTGTTTGATTGGAACGTGTATCCAGTGCGTCTTTTATTCTCTCCAAGATGATGCGACTCAGAATTTTACTTGGTGTCGACAGGAGCATGACTCCTCGCCAGTTCTTGCAGAGTCCTTAGTCGCCCTTCTTTGGTGGTTTCACAAGGTAACCTTTCCTCCAGTCAGTAGGCACCTTTCCCTCCTTCCAGACCTTTTGCAATAATGGAGTCAGAATATATGCTGTCGTCTCCGGGTCCTCTTTCAGTGCTTCAGGAGGTATTCTATCTGGTCCAGCTACTTTTCCAGTGACACTCATAACGATAATCAAATACTAAAGTGTTAATTTCAAATATTCACTGAGAGAATCACAATTTTAGAAGAGTATTCAGTTACGTAGTATATTCACTTTACACCAAAAAACTCTGGTATATTTTGCAATAAAAAAAATTTGAATAAACAACAGAATTTTATTTACTTTATCACAATATGTTCCATAGAATTCATCTTTGCAAATACACCTTTCAGTATGATACATTTTATCACGATTTTGTTGTTTAGAGTATTTTGTATTCGCTTCAATTGGAAGAATAGATTTTGTTCCAATACGTGAACATTTATTTTCATTAAAGTATTCATAACGATCATTTCTTCTTATACTGACTGTATTCTTCAACCTTTCAGCTTTCTGACGCCATCCATATGGTAAATAACAAGATTTTAATTGCTCTTTCCATACAAAACCAGTTGAACATTCACATTTAAAGCTCTGGAGGTGGACTAATCCAACTAATTCAAAAAAATAATAATAAAATCAAATAAATTTGATGCTATTCTTTCTATTACAGAAAAGTTTTAAGAAGCTATTCTGGACATATGGTTGATTGATGGATTTCTTAAAATTTAAAAAAGTTGTAGCCTTAAGTATTTTGATAAAAATTAATTCATTGTGTATTGACCTTCATGTTAACGTCAACTATCTATCCACTTTGTGGTATACACTTCAGAGCATGTTTTTTCTTATTTACTTGGCACACTCTGTAAATGTGACCGATTGTTTCACCACTCTTCTGAATTGTATATAAGTGTACATATGCAACTCAATGGTAAGCACTTATTCCTTTCAACAATAATCTGCCCAGAATTCTGGGCCATGGAAAGAGAAATTATAAATTCTGTCAGTCAGCTACAGGCATAATTAATATGATATCAAGATAATACATAACATGTCAGACAAAATACTAACCGAAAATGAAATCTCATTACTACAGAAAGGTCTGAATTTCAATATGACTAGAAAGCCATTATCGGTCCGGGAAATAGCACCTATGATCGAACCTGCTCTGCAACAATTCACCTATGAAGAATCACAATCTGTTCGTCAAAAGATAACACACATATTAATGACACAAAGAAACATACCATCTAATCTCACCAAACAAGAATATGAAGCCTTAAGAAATTTGAAGAAAGACAAAAGCATCGTTATAACGAAAGCCGACAAGGGAAACGTCACTGTGATAATGAAGAGAACGGGTTATGAAAAGAAGGCGATTGAAGACCTATCTGAAGGACAATACTTACTCATTGAAGAGAAGAAGAAATCCGCCGAATTCAACAAAATGAAAATAAATACAAATAGACTCCTTCAAGAAATGAAACCCAAAATTGGAAATTCCCTCTGGTTTAAACTAAAACCAAAATCTTATGTACCTTCAAGATTCTACGGTCAACCAAAGATACATAAACCCACAGTTTCATTAAGACCAGCAATAGATTTCACCAAGTCACCGATATACAACCTTTCTTAATACTTACTGTCGGTACTACAACCAATACAAAAGGACACTCAAAATATTGTAAGAAATTCATATGATTTCAAATCCCAAACAGAACACTGAGAAATTGATAAAGAAGACATTATGGTAAGCTATGATATTAACCCATTATATACTAGTATCCATATTACCGAACGTCTTGATATCATCTCCAGTCTACTAGAATCACATACAACGCTATCACAAAAATGTCCACTGGACACCAGTGAAATAATTAAGAGCTTGAATTCTGTCTAGAAAATAATTATTTTACATTTAAAGGTAATTTATATAGACAGATAAATGGTGTTACTATGGGTTCACCAGTCTCCCCAAAAGTCGCTTACCTTTTCATGAATGGATTCAAAAATAACATCTTTTCAAGCATACTCACTCCTAAAATATGGTTTAGATATGTAGATGATGCTTTTGTAGTACTAAAACGAGATCTACACAATTCATTCCTGGAGAAAATAAACTGTGTATCTCCCAGAATCCAGTTTACTTCGGAAGCAGAATCAGACGTCAGTGAACTACCATTTCTAGACTGCCTAGTTAAGAGGAGGGAAAACGGACATTTTAGTATATCCATATTCAGGAAGAAAACCCACTCCAATGAATATTTAGACTTCAAATCATCATACCACATCAGCGCAAAGGTAGGTTTCAGTTGTTTTAAGTCTTCTTAGACGAGCACACTCTCTGATAACGGATGGGAAAGAAAAAGAAGAAGAAATATCAAACATTAGTGAAACTCTCAAGGAAAACAACTACCCAAAGAACTTCATCAGCAAAATCAACACTGACATTAAGTATGGTCGAAAACGTATTCCGAAAACATGGACCTCAACAGTCATCATTCCATATAAAGCAGAGACGTCAGACGATATCAGAAGAGTACTCAATCAGCTCAACATCAGAGTTTTCTTCAAAATATCAGACACACTGCGAAGCAACCTGGTACATATGAAAGAACAAATCCCTAAAGATTCTCTATCTAATTGTGTCTATGAAATAAAATCCTTGGAATGTGATGCGATATACATCGGACAAACATCGCCAGAAAGAAATCAAAATCAGAAGAAATGAACACAGTAGAGCAGCCTTTGTTTGACCACCGAGAAATCCAGTTGAACTAGAAAAACTTGAAAAATCATCAGCCACAGGGAGTCTACACGCTATAGAATCAAACCACAAAATTGATTTTGACAATATTGAAATAATCCAGAAAAACTTCAGAAATCACAAAGAACGTCTAATATCAGAAATACCTCAAATCAAGTGGAATCCAAATTGTTTGAACAGGAATGATGGACTAAAACAGAATGTGACCTGGTTACAACACTCTCCTCCGTCATGAAACGACAAAATCAACACGAATGTGATAAACGATTTCATTATGTAAACGTATGCTGCTTTTATAATGTTACACACTGATCAAATCCAACAATCTACACTTGGTTTTGTTATGTCTACCAATTGACCAACTTGACGACAAAAAATGCCCCCAGACTGATGAATGATAATCAAGTTAATAAACTTTGTTTTGATATCATAACAGATGTACTATTAGCTTTGATATTTGGTCTAGTAATCTTCTTTATGATAGCGTTATTAGAAGACATAAGAATTATCTGAGTTCTTTCCAGTCTATCCAAAAAAGAAAATCAATAAGTGATAAGCCAGACTCAATTTTACTTCGAAAAACTTAATGAAACATTTTTACTCGTAACTTTAGAATATAGAATCATGCAATACAACAATAACTTACGGTAATTTTCTTCACTGCATCGTTTTGATAAAGTTGACATAAAATGTGATGGGAAATTGCACAGATTGTTATAACGATTCAGTTGAGATCTGTGTTCATCACTGAATCCTGAACCTTCACGATATGCACACGCTTTAGGACAAAACTGATGAATATCATATTGGCTACTTAATATAGGTCTTTTTTTAGTTGATGTCATATTAAGAGGACCAGTGGTATTAAGATGAAGAGTTGTATTATGAGATATACTAGTATTAGAAGGAATAGAATCATCAGAAGAAACAGTAGCATTAGAAGGAGCAGTAGAATTAGAAGGAGTAGCAGCATTAGCAGGAACTACAGCATTCGAAGGAGCAACAACACTGGGAGCAGCAGTGGCGTTAGAAGCAGCGGTAGTCTCAGGAGCAGCAGTAACAGTATTCGTAAACTCAATCATCGGATGAAAATTGACGGAACTAATAACGATATCATCAGTTATATTTTTAGTGAATTCCAATCGTGCTGTGCAATAATACATCATAAATTGTAATCTTGCATTCGATGGTTTTAATACTAAGTTACTGAAAATTTTTTTATTATACTGCTTTGCATTCGACTGTTTATTATATAGTTTAACTAAATTTTCATAAAATTTAAAATGAAAATCTGTTATTCTGGTTTTATTTGTAGAAATTAATTCTTTGTATTCAGTAATATTTGTATATAAATATATTAATTCACTTTTTGCATTATTTTCTGGTGGTATAATCAAAGCGCTTATTTCTGTCCCCAATGTACCCGGGGGATAACCAGCTCTCATTGGATATTGATATTGTACTGGTATACCATGCGGAATTTTTAAATAAATATGTTCATCTGTCTCATGAATAAATTCTTCGTTTGATGAGTTTATACACCATAAATAATGGATGAGTAATACACACAACAGCTATATTAGGAAAAGGAAAACAGTGTTAACCTTCATTTAAAGAAATATGTTGAGCTGAAAATATATTGAATTCGAAAATGTCTTCAACACTATGATTTACAATATTATTGTACAATCATTACAAGATTTCAACTAACCACTTTACTACTCTCCAGTAGTTTAAACTGCAATGCGTAGAACTGGACAAAGAGGCAGTCCTAACTTATGTAATTAAGGCAAATATATGGTTTGCCTTGGTCAAGGAATAGGAACATTGAACGTTGGTTCATTGACCTTGGTCACCATTGGCGGGCAACTCGAAGGCGCGAATGGTTCGGTCGTGTGCAAGTTCGATGAAGACGGAAGAATACGAATAAAACTTTGTAATTGTCATTACTTTAATTGCCAAACAATATAACTTTCAACCGACTACTGGTTTTTGGAGTTGAAGTCGAGAAAAGTGCATAGTCATTATCGGTTCAAAACGTCTTCCTTACAATATGAACTTAGGGTTAAGTTCCTTGACATATACAGTCGTGACATACAAATTACCAGTATGTCTAAGTAGATTGTAGATGACCTCAGAGATCACTCTACTTTTCTAATGAGTTCCTTAAATGTGTCTGCCGGCTGCTTTATAGCCCTTCTGTTTAAATCTGTTGAATTGTTAAACGTATTTGAAATTTCATTTCGTCACTTAGAAGCGAATTCATTTTGTCAGCATCCATTATTTTAATCAGTACTACCCCTGTCCTTTTATCTGGCCTACTAATTATGTTTTCATTATTTATTAACTTATTCAGAGCTTCTGGATGTTGCTTAGTCAGCAGGCTTGTGTTAGAACAACTACAATTTTTATATTGCTGACAGCTATCCACTAGTGTTGTTTTTAAATTAGCCAGTTCACAGTCTGACGATGAGATCAACTCTTTTGTTTATAGATGTAAGTTTTCAAACTGAATATTGGTGTCAAACTGTTCGATCTTATGACCTTAGTCACAAAATTAAAGACCCAATAATAATAATAACTCTAACTGGAATTTATCTAGCGTAACACTGGGAAAATTATGGACACTACGAAATGGGTCTGAAAGGTAATTTTTTCAGGTTTTTGGTTTCCTAAAGATTTGATAAGTTTCATTCCATTTTTGACCTCCATTTGAGCTTATTTGGTCAATATAATCAAGGATATCTAGTAATAAGTCTTGTGAAAGTTCATGAACCGCAAATTCTCTTGTGACAGGTTTTTATTTATTTTTGAAACGTAGACATTAGCTTCTTAATTTATTCAGATTGTAATTTAAATGCATCCACATTATCAACTATCATATTTTGTCGTTAAATGAAAAATTATTTATAAATTCTGTATAGTTTGAGTTCACCACATGATAAAGATATCTGGTTGGTATGGTGAATGTACCTTTTAAAGTTATATACAGTCGTGAAATACTAATCGCAAGTATGGATTGCACAGATTTACATTACTTCAACTTCTTATACACTGAACTATCTAATATCGCCTAGTCATGACTTATTATATTATTATTATTCCCTTGGGTTCCAAGTGGAACATACGGCTTCAACAACACATCACCACTTTCTTCTATTCTCTACTCTACCCTTCAGCTGGGTCCACGATCGCCCATAATCTCTCGTCTCTTCCTCACACGATCTCCTTCATGTCACCCTCCCACCGACGACCCATTCGTCACTTCCCATTGGGATTCCACTCGAGTGATGGCCTGCATTGCACGCGATGTCATTCGACGGTCTCCTCAATGTATGCCCGATGCATCTCCATTTTCTCCTACATATTTGTTGAGCGATTAGCTCTCGGTTAGTTTGTTCATCGCCAGAGTTTTTTGCTACTAATTCTTTCTGGTCGGCCATTAAATTTTCAGTATGGAGCGAACGCAGCTGTTGATGAAAGTCTGCAACCTGTTGAAAATGCTTTTCATGACACGCAGTACAAGTTTCTGACCCGTATAGAAGAGGCTAACTTGACACTGGTGTTATGACTTAAACATTCCACATAACTGAGATGCAGATTGAATTAAACACAAGACGACATACTTTTTTTAACATTTAATTAGGCTTATTCTTTTAATTTCAATTATGCGTAATTCAAAGTTCGAAACGCCATTCCAAAGAGTACAAAATATATCAAGTAATCCAAATAACCATTCAAGTTTGAAAATTAATGAAGTCACTGAAGGATTTACAAAATAGGATAAAAAAATTATGAAGAATCAAAAGAAATCTGACGATAATTTTTTCCTAAACGTTTGATTCTATTCAAAACAAAGTGAAATAGAGAAATTTACATACTTACTAACATTATTCAGTCTACGTGAATTTTTGGTCGCCACATCAGTGGCTATTAATGACTGACTGCCATGTTAAAATGATAATAATCTCACTGATGGAAACAATTAGAAAACTAACTAATAAAACGAAGAGGATACATCACCCCACTCTTATAGAAACACACATTTTGGTGTGAAACGAGGTCGAAGGTCTGAAAACGTTTTTAATTCAAATGTTGTTACTCAGTAACATTTAGTAGTCTGAGGAAAAAAGCGTAATTTTGGTGACAGAAAAGTGAAAGTAAAAATCGCATTTAATATAAATATGCATGTCACCCTTTGATAAAAATTGAAATATTAGATGGTTGGAGGCAATCGGAAGGAAGCCTTGGACCTAGGTTTCGTGCTAGTTGGCACTCGTCAGCAAGGCGTATCTGCAACCTTGAAGGAACTCATGTCCCTTCTGAGATTCGAACCCGCGTCACCCAGTACTGCAGTCAAAGGACTAGACGCATCACACTAGTTACGGTTGTCAAATCAAAATATCTACTACAGTCCTACAGGAGGCCAATCGCTAGCCCGAATAGCTCAGTGGTAACGTCTCTGACTGCAGCACTGGGTGACGCGGGTTCGAATCTCAGAAGAGACATGAGTTCCTTCAAGGTTGTAGATACGCCTTGCTGACTGGTGAGTGCCAACCAGCACGAAACGTAGGTGAAAGGCTTCCTGCCGATCGCCTCCAACCATCTAATACCAACAATTCAAATTGTACTGTGATGGCGAGCTCCTTAGAACCTTAGAATGGTGGTCACATTACAACCTGACTGATAGAATTCAGTCTGCACCAAAGAGAGGACTAGCCGCATCACACTAGTGTCAAATCAAAAATTGAAATATGCCTATATACAGTGCCTGTGTTATTGGACAAATCTGATGGCATTTAAAGCTTTTATATTTTAATATTTCATTGGAACTAAAGGAACTCTCGTAATCGGAATATATATACTGAATGGAACCACCTTAGAATCTGCACACATCCAGAGACAAAGACATTAAAAAGAAAAATGAGAAGACTTGGTTGGAGAGACCAAAAACTAGTAATATGCTTGATATTTCGAAATTAATGTGTGGTGAATATACCTGTACAACATTGGTAAGTTGTGAATAGTATGATAGGCAGTCCACAACACTAATGATCTCCACCATTTCAAAGGTTATAATCAGTCAAGCTATGGTTGCGTGAATATCATTAATCGACAAGCTTGTCATATTTATGTCCAATAACAAATAAGATGAATTCATCACTCTTCAACCTGTGTGTAACTTTTACTGTTGAAAACTGTAGAAACAGCAACCAACCCACTTTTCTCAGACATTCAAAGTCATTGTTAACATTGTTTAATTATAGCGATAGATGTCACTTTCAAATTTCCTACTTTAAGCTTACAAAGTTCATGTAACTACTATGATAAATGATGCTGCCTGGTGAATGAAGGGATTCTAAACGCAAATATTTGTAAAAGTAATCACTGTAGCCAGCTGAAAAAGCTGCATGTGACAATAGACATTTTATATAGAACTCCAAAAAATAATAGGAGAAATTTAATAAAAAATAAAAATATTTCACTGCATCTTAACATCAGTCGAAATCTACTTTCGTGCAGGCCGAAGGTAGAATTCAGGATAAAAAAATCAGCAATGAATAGTTAGTCAAAATAAACAAGTAATATCAAAATTTTCGTCAATTAGAACAGATATGAATGAGTTTATCTTACCTTGAACATACCCATCATTAAAAATAAATCAATCATGTAGAGTTTTAAATTGAAGATAAACGATCGATGGGTAGATCAAGCGTATTTTTTATGATACGATTAAATGAAATAAATGATATACTTAGTGTCCTGTTGACTGGAATTGCACATAATCGCATTATTAAGAAAAATGATTTAGAATATACCCATAAATTAATAAACAACATATTTGAAGACATCAAATTCACAAGAGAAGAAGAATTAGATAACAAAATCCCATTTTTAGATGTCTTAATCAGGAGAACCAACACAGGAGATTTAAAACCCAAGTATATAGAAAATCAACGCACACAGATTAAATACCCAACTATACTAGCAATAATCCAATTACTCACAAACGAAACTGTGTGCAGACATTGTTTAAAAGAGTTCAAACACATTGTAGCACTCCAGAGTTGAAAAGACTGGAGGAAAAGTACCTACAAACGGTCTTCAAAAAGAATGGTTATCCACAAAATTTCATCAAAAAGTGTTTAAAGTCGAATCAAAACGCCAACAAACAACCATCATCAAAGACCACAAGAAAATTCATCTTACCATACATGAGAAATATCTCTGAAATAACAGCTAGAACACTGAAACCGTTTGATATAGATATAGCACACAAACCAGTCAAGTCGCCTAATTCGATATTATGCAAACCGAAAGATCCAAAAGAAAAAGGGGAAAAAATTAATACCATTTACAAAATAAATTGTATGAACTGCAACAAGCATTACATCGGCCAAAGTGGGCGTCCCCTTCGAATTAGAATCCAAGAACACAAATCAGCCGTGAAAAGACACGATATGTATTCTTTAATATCAATGCAAATAGACAATTATGGTCATCAATTTGATTGGGATAATGTCAAAATCTTAGACAGAGGAAACACCAAAAGTGCCAGGGAATTCCTAGAAGCCTGGTACTCAAACGAAAATGCAATCAACAAACACGTTAATATAGACGAAATATACCAACTAATAAAAAGTAAATCAGGTGACTAGAAAGTTTAAAATCCAAGTCAATAGAAAGTGGTCAATACATACGTAAAGATGGTTACCAGGAGACGCAATTCTTTCACCCATGAAGAAATTTAAATCATTTCACTTTCTGCTAAATATTGCGCTGAAGACTCAAAAAACTTAATGAATTATGAAGAGACCTATTCATAGAAAATATTTCATGTTGTCATAAATCATTAACAATTAAATAGTGTGATTTACAGCATTTCGGCTCAGTGATTGAATGATTTTTTTTTTGTTGCTTTATTCCAAAAACAGTATTAATGATACAGCAAGGAATTTTCAGCATTCAGTACAATATTGCATCTAATTTACTCAAAAACGACAACAACAAACAAAAAAAGTAGATAAACGGAATAATTAATACATAATAATGATAACAAAACGTTTTTATAGGAGCTATGTAGCAATTACAGTAGAGGATAAGGAGAAAAATATAAAATTATAGTAATAATAGTAATAACAACTAAAATAAAAATAGCAAAGTTATAATTAAACGATAGAAAGGGTGACACCATAGAATTACAGAAAGATGAACAATGAAAGGGTCGATTCACTATGCTAATTACATAGTAACTTATATGTTTCACGTCTAACAGTGTCTTCATCACATAAAATACGGGCTAAGTACGGTATTGTAGAATTTTTGTACTTAGTGGTACGAGCATATAATTTCTTATATTGACTTCTCGTTCTACCTGATGAGATACAAGGGGATAATTGTGAATAAAGAGGGTGCAGAGGGTCTGACAGTACGGCCTTTGCCCAATTTTTACAGGAATTTACGTGTCTCTCGACTATGGTATTGGCGAGATCACGCAGTGGCAAACCACAAGCCCTACTCACAGCATTTAATACCCTTCGTAATACGGCATAGTCTTTTTTAAGAAGCCCAGGAAAGATCAATGGAGAACAATAAAGTAAAATGGGTAAAATACAGGAGTTTAAAAATCGCAGAACTAAAGGTTGGCTGATACCTTGTTGTCTTAACTTTTTAATGTAGAAGGTAAGACGAAACATTTTCTTAGAGACCAATAAAATGTGAGATGACCATGAAAGGTCCGAGGAAAGAACTAATCCAAGGTATTTAATGCTTGATTTGGTTTCAATTTCTGTACCATCTATGCTACAGGCATCATGGGAACTAACTAGTTCATGTATGTCACGTCGATGGTTGAAGGTAAAGTTAACTGCCTGACATTTGGAAGGATTTAACATAAGACCATTTGACTTAGCTGGACACTGAGACTAAAAGATCATGATGAACTCAGTCAGGCACCGGATCATTGGCGCCTGCTGATATTTATTTACAAATAAAGGCGAAGAAACTAATAAAGTCATTTCTGTTGTCTACTGATGGCCTAGTTGATTTCGATTTGTGTTGTCTCAGTGATTAGTGTAGCAGGATAACTGATCTGAAAATCCCTCAATGGAAAATTGGCCAAGTAAAACTTTAAGTAGCACTAACTTTCAATGGAGTGCTACCGCACCACTAACCTTGAATGGTTCAATGAGTTTCATTCACGTGAGCTGAAGCGTCTATTCCGCTTGATTTGAGTCAAATGCCTGCTCTAACTTGGTTGCGTTTGCAATTTGGTGAGGATCAAGTCTTCCAGTATTGCTTAGATGTGGGGTTGATTAGGAAAGAAAGGATTTGTTCATGTGGAGGTGTGATGATCATAAAAAGCTTCAGCAGGTCTCTTGATGGACATGTGCATCATTGTGCAATTTGTTTGAGACGAGTTAGTGTCAGGGAAGGCAAGCTGAAGATTCTAATATTTCATAGGAACATTTTTTGCCAGATTCCGTCATTCCTTAACCCAGATTTTGTATATTTGTAATTACTGGATTTTAAAACAGCCTGTGAGAGGTGCAGCTACTGAAAATGAAAATAGTCTCGTAGCACTCCAGGGATATGGCATCTTGGAAAATGAAGAGGCTTACTTCCTTATTGGGAGGAGTTGTCATCGTAAATGTCGATGAAACTGTCCTATTTAAGAAAAAATACAGCTGTGCTCGAGGACGAGCGAATAATTTTTGGGTGATTGGTTTGCTTAATACCTCCTTACAGAAGGGATTCGTCGAGAGGATAGCAAATAGAAAGTAAGGTACTTCAATACCCAATATTACTCGACTGGTGAAAAAAAGATCTATAAAATACACAGATGAGTGGAAGGGTTATACCTCCTTGTCATTCCTTGCATATATTCACGACAGAGACAACCATTCTAGTGATTTTGTGGACCCCATTGCAGTGACCTACACCAATTCTATCAAAGGCTTTTGGAGAAGGTTAAAAAACAGGATTAGAGCCATTTATGCATGGCAAATGGATGTTATAGTTATTCAGATGAATATATGTATGGGATGTGGTGTAACTTTCCCATTGATACTCCTATGCTAAACTGGAAGATGTTTTTATCACATGTGAGAGAAGGGTATCCTATGTAATATTCTTAAACAGTTTTTATGCATTTTTTACATAAATATGTGTATTACATACCCAAAGATACCTCCTTCATGTGATTGGTGCGTTCAACGTCATTCGCTGATTGGTATTTAGTGGTGCTCAACGTTTCACTTTGCCGTAAAATTTATTTGCAACATTGATACTTGTTTGAATATTCTAAATAATTTTGTAATTATCCCTTACTCTGATCTGTATTTCATCATTCTAACATTTGCGCATCTTTTTAGGCATAATCCTTACTATTTGTCTTAGCTTTTGGTTGATTCTCGTTTTTAATAACTCACTTAGCTGCTGTGTGATCGTTGACTGTTGATAATAATGTGTCGTTTTACTATTGCGTTCTTGTTTGAATGAATTCAAGGTTATTTGCCATGGAGTGACTGCTTGACCTTAAAATGTCTGCAGGAAGCATGCTTTTTTCTTTGCGATTATTGTAGAGACAGAGTTTTGATGTCATCTTGTAGAGAATATTCCTAATGATTCTCATCAAGTATTATTTTTCCTGAGAAACTTTTGGACTGTATAATTGCCCGGATGTCATTGTTAGGGTAGTTTTATATTTTTGATGTAAGTTATTATTGCTCAATTGTACAACAGAGTCTATTTCGTCAACCCGTATTTCGATAAAGTTGCAGCGTATACTTTTACTATGCGCGATTCGTCGAAGTTTGGTAAGCTATGCAGACGAACGCATCCATTGGTTTCATGCATTCAAACCAAGATACTTCAGTTTTGTTCATAACAATTAGTATTAATAATGGCAATACTATTATTATTATTATATTATTGTTCCCTTGGGTTCCTAGTGGAACATAGGGCTTCAACTACACGTCTCCACTTGCTTCTGTCTTCTGCTGTACTTTTCACCTGCATCCATGTTATTCCATATTGTTTCAACTCCTCTTCACACGATCTCCTCCATGTCACCCTTGGACGTCCCACTCGCCGCTTCCCTTTCGGGTTCCACTCGAGCACTGGCCTGACGCGCGATGTCACCCAGCGGCCTCCTCAGCGAGTTTCCAATCCATCTCCACTTTCTCCTGCATATTTGTTGAGCGATTGGTTCTTGTTTTGTTTGTTCCCATAGTTTCTTGTTGGTGATTCTTTCCGGCCATCTGATCTTCAGTATAGAACGAAGACAGTTGTTGATAAAGGTCTGCAACAGGCTGTTGGAAATATTCTTTGTGACCCGCCAAGTTTCTGATCCGTATAGAAGAAACTGACTTGACGTTTGTATTGAAAATCCGAATTTTGTTGTTGATGCTGAGTGACGATAATAGGAACAGCTTTATTCTAAAACAATATTTATGTAATGTAGAGAATTTTCAGCGGAGTTTATTGCATGATAGTTTCTCTTCGTCTATGATCTTCAAACAGCAGAACAATCGACAGTAGATCGTGTAACACAGTCGTATCTGACCTGAAGCACAAACCAATCTATTATGTGATATCTCTTATTTTTCTCCTTCGAGATATACACGACATTTGACTGAATGCCAATTACAAAAGGTTCAGGAATACAT